TTCCTTGGAAGGGCAAAAAAAAAAAAAAAAAACAGAATACTTCTCAACTCATTTATGAAGTCAGCACAACCCTGACACCAAGTGTGAAGAGAAGAGAATAGAGAGAAGAGAGAGAGAGAGAGAGAGAGAGAGAGAGAGAGAGAGGGAGGGGAGGGGAGGGGAGGGGAGGGGAGGAGGAGGGAGAGGAGAGGGAGGAGAAGAGAAGAGAAGAGAAGAGAAGAGAAGAGAAGAGAAGAGAAGAGAAGAGAAGAGAAGAGAAGAGAAGAAAAATAGAGCCATCTTGCTCATGAACATAAATGCAAAAAATCTGAATAAACTATTAGGATATCAAGCCCAACAACATTTAAAAGAATAACACATCATAACCAAATGAATTTATTCAAGGAATGGAAGGTGGTTTAACATTTGAAAATCAAGAAAATAATCTACCACACTAACAGAAAATGTATAACATATAACAGGAAAAAAATTTTTGATGACTTTAATAGATGTGGAGAAAAATTAACATCTACTCACATAAAAAGAAAAATTCAGCAAATGAAGTAGAAGGGAACTTGCTTAATCTGATGAAAGATTATCTATAATCATCCCGCCCCCATATATAGACACACACACACAAATTTTAATGGTGAACTATTAAAACCTTGCTGAAATTCTATCACCACTTCAACATTATGATGGAAGTCCTAACAAGTTGAATAAAACGGAGGATGGGGACATGGAGACTTTGCAAATGGTATGACTTTATCGTAGAGGTAGAAATTCCAAAAGCATCCACGGCAAATTATTAAAAGTAGTAAGTAAATTCACCAAGATCATTGGAACAACAGCTCAAAATACAAAAATCAAATACATTTGTACATACAACAAAAACTTATTAAAATTTTAAAAGTGGGGGATCCCTGGTGGCTCAGCGGTTTGGCGCCTGCCTTTGGCTCAGGGCATGATCCTGGAGTCCCGGGATCAAGTCCCACATCGAGCTCCCTGCATGGAGCCTGCTTCTCCCTCTGCCTGTGTCTCTGCCTCTCTCTCTCTCTCTCTCTCTCTCTCTGTCCCTCTCTGTCTCTCATGAATAAATAAAATAAAATCTTTTTAAAAATTTTTAAGTGGTACTATTTATAGCAATGAAATCAAAAACCTAAAAATAAAGCAAATATGTATAAATTTTTATAGAAGAGTCAAAACATGAGCAAGAAATATTTCTGAAGTCCTAAATAAATGGAAGAACACACCATATTCACGAATTGGAAGATATACTGTAGTAAATGTGTCAATTCTCCCCAAACTGACCTACAAAGTTAATGCAATCCCACTCAAAATCCCTGCAGGTTCTGTGTAGAAATTGATATGCTCATTCTAATAATTAAAGAGATTGCAAAAAGTGAGCTAGGGAAACCTTGGAAAAAAACAAAGAGTAAGACATTACCAGATGTCAATATTTAAAGCTACAGAAATAAAAAGTGTAGCATAATACAAGGATAAAGGAAGAAACCAATGAACTAAAAGAGTCAAGAAATATATTGATATAGTCACTGATTTATGACAAAGATAACCCTGCAGCAGAGTAGGGAAATAACTTTTCAAAAAAAGAAAAAAAAATTAATCTTGACCTCTATCTCACACTATGAACAAAAATAACTTTTAGATGTCTCATATATCTAAGTGCAAAAAATTAAAAAACAAGCAAAGCTTTTAGAAGAAAACATTGGAATATATCTTTAAGACTTCAGGGTAAATGAAGATTTTGCATTTCCAAACAGTGCTAACAATAAAGGAAAAAATGTAAACTACACTATATTGAAATTGTTAACTTCTATTCAAAAGACACTATTAAGAGTTTTAAAAAATAACCCATATATATGGAATATATACACATGTATATAAATGTGCATGTATATGTGTGTGTAAAAAAATTTATGTTCCAAATACATGATGTTTTTACAAACTGAAAAAGAAAAAATGCATACAGTCCAATATAAGACGTCACAAAAGAGTATATCCTAAGGGCAAATAAACATATGTGAAGGTACTCAATAAGCAGTTATCACAAAATACAAGACAAAAATCTCAGTGCAATACTATACCCCCACCAGAATAGAAAAAGAGAGAGAGAAAGCACAAAAAGAAAGTGGAAATTTCTGAACGCTCATTTACTACAGTAGGACTGTACAGCCACTTTGGAAAACTAATAGCATCTAAAGCTATATACATAAATACTTAATCCAGTGGTACCTCTCCTGAATATTTTACCAACACAAATGCATAAATGTTCATCTAAAAGTATGTAACAAAATATTCCCAACAGTAGCAGTTGCCAAAAACTGGAAACAACCTGAATGTCTATCAATATCGGGATAAAGTAAGTTGTATTATCTACACACAAAGGAATATTATATAACAAAACCATAAGCAAACTACAAAAAGTATAAAATATTGGGTCAAAGAAGACATATAAAATAGACATGTTTATAATTCTACTTTTATAAGTATATACAGGTAAAACTAATCTATAGTGATAAAAATCAAAACAGGTTGCATCTCTGCGGGGAGGGGTTGAGAAAATGACAGAAAAGCGCAGCAAGAAACATTCTGGGGTGATAGAAATATTCTCTATCACAATGTGGATGACTTAAACAATTATACACAAATATTCAAAATTCTCTGTGCTGTATGAAAAATATTTGTGCATTTAATTTAATGTAAATACACAACAAAACACTATGCATATTTAAACAACAACAACAAAAAATCACCTAGATTCTAGATAAGTGATATGCAAAGTAATCAGCCTACAAACTGTTAAGAGTCCATAACAAGATAAGGAGCTTGCACTACAATGAATATCAACACATTACTTTCTTCAAAAAGAAAAGTTTTACCATGAAAACAGAATCAACTAAACTAAATAGTGGGTTGAATTAAACCGTATTAATAAGTGACACAGTGGACTCACATTCTAATGAAAGCTCCTTATCTTGACCTGGGCTGGAAGGAGCACCACTGTAGAGAACAACCATGATGGTGATTGGAGAACTAGGTGGGATGGGAGGGGTGTGGGGAGAGGAGACACAGGCTTTGGTGAGAGGGTTGGGGAGACTAAGAAAAATGAGAATATGTTAAAGTTCTTTTGGGATTAAGTTTTAAATATGTATTTAAACTACTCTAGGCAAAGAAAGGAGAAAAAAAAAAACAGAAAAAGGGACAATTAAATAAAAATAGTTAAGATGGCAGAATGAAGTCCAAATATATCAATATATGCAAACATAAAAGGACTAAACTCATTGGTTAAAAGAAAAGAAGAAATTGTAATTTAAAAAAATTATAACCTTTTTGCTATGTATCAAAAAGGTTCATAGTAAAAGGATGGAATATACATAAATAAAACTGATAAAATATACTAGTATCTGAAAAGGCCTTAAGACAAAAAGCATAATGAGGAATAGAGATCACTAAATTATGACTGTAAGTTCAATTTCACCAAGAAAACAACTCTAAACAAGTACCTAACAAAATACACTCAAAATATAAAAAGCATAAAAATAATAGATTTTCAGAAAATGGTAAATCCACTATCACAGTAGGAGATCCTAACACTACTTTCAACATTTGCCACCAATCCTCCATCCTTTCTCAGACTGTTTTCCTCTTAAATCAGAAGATCTAAGGTCTTCAAGACCAATGGTCAACCCAGGTGCGTCCTGAACTCTTTTAGAGGCATCATTAAGATATAGGAGAAACAATGTCAGGTACTACGTGGATTATTGCTGCCATCTGCTGGACACAATGTTCATTCCCACGTCGATCATACTTGACTTTAACAAGTCCTAGTGAGAAAGCTTATAAAGCCCTAAACTGTAATATTTTCTAAACTTGTTTTATCTAATGAAATAGAGATACTCTCTCTAAATTAAATATGTGTCCCTTCTATGTTTGTGGAATTAAACAATCCTCTAGTAACGATGCTTATTCTTTTCAAGTCACAGGTTTATGAGAGTATAGAAAATTACAATGCCTGAAATCTACTTGGAATTTAATATATCTATGAAGACTACCAATCTTTCCATACAACTACTGCAAAATCATATTTTATACACTGAGTAATTACAATGAGTCACTTCAAACACACCAACGATTCTCTACTCATACAGCGTATTAGCCACATTACTTGCAGTATCTCTTAAAATTTGCCTTCCAGGCACACAGGAAAATTACACTTCCTACCCAGTTAGTACCTTAAAGTTGCTAGGGTCAATGGTTGTGAGATAAAGTACCATGTGGCATCTGCACGCCAAGGCGAGTAACTGCACACGCGAGACCTGGCTGCATTCTCCCTCTACAACAGCGACAAGACAGGGCCTCCAAAAGAGATGGTGAAGCCACCTTCTCTTGGAGATGGTGAAGATGAAAGCAACTTAGAACACTGAAGAAAGTTGCCCTAGAGTTTTCAGACTTAGAATAGACTTGGGAAGAGGAAAAACAAGCTTTTATTGTGTTAAGCCACTGAGTTGGCACTTAACCGTTACCTCAGCATAGCCTAACCCAGGATTTCTCAAAGTGGCACTACTGACACCTTGGGCTGAATAATCCTTTGCTGTGGGTACCACTGTCGGGCATTAAGCAGCATCCCTGGCATCTTCCCACTACTCTTCAGTAGCACTCCTCAATATGACAACCAAAATTAGCTCCAGACATTGCCTTCCTCCCCAAATTTGAGTACCACTAGCCTACCTTAACCTGAATACAGTATATCTATATACATATACGTATGTATATTATTAATATGTATGAGAGTATATTTAACTCAATTGTCATATGACACAAATATATGCTTTATTAGGTACTAAGGTCAGACGTTTTATAGGCTCTTAACAGATATGAATTTCCTTTCTTAAACTAGGAGAGCTAATTTATAAACTTAAAAAAAATCCAATCAGTATTACAAGTCTTTCCATAGGAAGGTAAACAAAACGTTGCAAAGGGACATGTAAATCCATACATACAATGCTGTTCATTTCCGAGGATTCATAGCTCCCAACTGGATGGACATTTCCAATGGGCTCCAAACCCTCTTCATCCCACATGTATGTTCCATCAGAGCTATCAGATGGAGAGAGCTCAAATGAAGAACCAGCTCTGTAATCTGTATCTGGTGAAATCAAGTTATTCCCAGAAGTATGTTTTGTACATTCACTCCTGTCTTCAATTGATTTTTTAAAAAGAGAAAGAAAAAAAAAGTTATTAATTCACAAAAATGTATTTCTCAGGTTCTGAAGAGATAAATTCTAATAATTTATTAAATAAAAAAACTGGCAAAAAATATTAGTAACTACAGTATTTTCTAAATCCCAAACAATAAAAAAAAAACAAGAAAAAAATCAATCTTAAATAACCTACTGAAATATTTTCCAATACACATAAAGAAAATTCATTGAGCTATCTTTCACTTCTGAAACATTTCTAGAATTATAAATAAAGCTTCATATTCTTTTAATACTTCCTAAGATACTTACTTTTACACACTGGCCATGAACTCCTTACCCTGTATATAGCATTTAACCTTGCAGTTACCTCCTTGTAAGGGAAACACTTGTTCTGGTATTCACTTCTAACTAGAAGACCTTCAGACAGTCAAGGGTTTATGTATATCTTTAAGCATGGCCTAGACCCTTCACCAGATCACAGGTCTACACCCAATCCCTTCAGTTTGTTCTTTTTTCAGGCCATACAGGCACCTAGATATCTCTCCAGACTTTTAGTGCCAGGATAACCAAATATAAGGGAAAATGTTTAAACAGGTACTAATCTCACTTTCCTCAGTTAAAAATATAAAGTTCCTCTGAAAGTATAACTATAAAGTTTATTAAACAAGAAACCAAGTCCTCCTTTAAAAAAATGTATATTTCCTAGGATAAAAACATTCATTAGATTGGACATAACCTATATTATTACCAGTTCATTTACCCTTTGGCACAGCCTTACTCTAAACAAATAGCATCCATTACCATAAGGGAATAGATGGTCTAAACTGGCATGCCACTGTCGAGGAAGTGGGGGGGGGGGAAGAATTCTGAAGCATGACAGTCAAACAAGAACAAAGGTAAGATACATTAGGGGAAGAGTATTTTTACTGACATTGTTTTAAATAGTGAAAAATAAGACCCAGAGCCAAAGCAAAATAAAAGTTGTCCTGCCCCAATTTTATCTAGATCCATCCCTCCACAAAATTGACATGACATTATCTTGGAATTAATCAAAAGGTAATTCTAAATTTAAGTTCAGTTATATTATCTAGGAGAAAGCAAACAAACTTAAGGTATTAATATTTACCAGAGACACTTATATCTATCCACTCGTCAGTTTTACTTTTTTCATTTTCCTTGGGGGAATCAAATATATCCTTTGGTGGTACATTTTCATGCTTTTCTTCTTTGAGACAAATTTCCTCTGGAGTTATTCTAGTTCTGTTGGAGTCTTCTATATCTATAAAATCATCACTAAAATCTTCACTTAAATCATTCTTATCAGAAGATGACAAAGACGACAAGGAAATATCATCCACATCATCACTCAAGTATCTAATTTTAGCATCATGCTTCATGGTCTGGTCATTTTCTGTTCTGTAACTATCATTTTCAATTAGTTCTTGGTCCTTATTAGTAGTTCTGTCCTTAGCCATAAGTTCAGCATCTTCTTCTACACATGAATCAGCAGGTGAATTTTTATTACCATCAACTGTGATAGTGCCAGAAAATGGAGGTCGGTTAGATTTCAGTAGAGAGGGATGAACCATCCTATAACCCAAAGTGGAAGTTACACCAGGGCCATTTGGTAAAGCCAACTTCTTTCCACTAGCAGCATAAGGCCTATTAAATCCATACCCTAAGTGATCATTCCCATTGAGTACCTCTGACTGCCGGGAATTTCTTGCTAGCATACTTGACCTCAGAGGTACTCTAATGGGCAGCTGTTGGTTCTGATAAGGCTTTGTAAGATCTGCAGCTCTATTGAAGGAATGTGATCTGGTTATAGATGAAGGTGGAAGGAATGAATTCTGAATGGAATGTGAAAAACTCTGTGACCTTACCATTTTTTCACAAGTAAGAGATTTAATATTGTCTAGGGATTGTACTAAGCCTTCTCCAGAACTGCTTCTTGTGGCACAGGAGTTTGCTCTAGGCCTTTGTATGCTACTAGCTGAACGGTTTCCATATAATCCATTCAACTGTGATTTTGGAGCACTGACTGAAGAATATGAAGTCCTTCCTAATAATGTGCCTTTGGTGAATTTACCCAAACTAGGTGGTCCAGTCAAAGACTTTTGGTTTAACTCCTCTGTAGATGACACAAACATAGTGGATGGCTTTGCTAACTTTGATGAGAGTAAAGAAATACTTTTCAAGCCTCCCTTTATCCCATTTTTATCAAACATTCCTTGAGTAGGTGCATGTTTTTCAGGATCAATTACTTTATCGCGTGAAGTTTGAATACTGTTCCGCTCTTCAACACTTTGTGCACTAAGCTGGTATTTAGTTGCCATTCTCCAATTAAATGAATGGGATGATGGGCAATCAGAGCCATTATTTTTGATGTAACTTTTGACATTGTTACTCTTAGAAGTTCCCAATAAATCAACAGGTGTCCCATTTGACATTGGCTGCAGTGTACTTCTCACAGATTTTGTTCCATACTTTGGCAACTTGGAACCCAAAAATGTCTTGATTTGTGTTTTTTCTTCCATGAGCTATAAGATGCATTTGTTCTTAAAATTTGACAGAATCTGAGGAGACAAAAAAGGAGATAAAATGTTCTTAAATAAGCATAATTACATGGGTTATAACATAATAAGAATATATATTTGTAGACAATTAAATGCAGCAAAGCTCAAAACCTACTTATGATTCCTACCAAACTCTCAATAAATATTGAATGCACTAATTAAATTAATAAATTGTCATTAGGAGAAAGTAAAGAACATTTTTTTTAAGATTTTATTTATTTATTCATGAGAGACACAGAGAGAGAGAGAGACAGAGACACAGGCAGAGGGAGAAGCAGGCTTCATGCAGGGAGCCCGACGTGGGACTCGATCCCAGGTCTCCAGGATCACGCCCAGGGCTGAAGGCAGACGCTAAACTGCTGAGCAACCGGGGCTGCCCAAGAACATTTTTATAAACCTGGGCTATGCATAATGATAGCAAAATCCAGAATTAACAAAATTAGACTGCCAATTTTTATTGTATTTTTTAAAAAAGAAACACTTCTATAGAAAGAATGCCTATCTTCCAATTTCCAATCCAAATTATTTTTTTTTTCACTTTGGACATTATCTCCTTTAAAATAAGAAAATGTGATTTTATTATTTTTTAAGCACATTTGATCTTATAAAACAATACATTTTTAAAATTCATCACTAAAATCGTGGTAGGATGTAGGAAAAGAACACAATAGCACCAAAAAAATTCTTCTGATATTAAGTTGCATTGTATCCATCTCAAAAGAGCTTTCAACTGGTAATATAAACAGACACTATAGAAGGTGTCATGGTGAAAAGTATAATAGTTTTGATAAAATTGACTAGTCCACTTATCTCTCCCAATCCTAACATTAACAGAAAATGATTATATAAAAATTCTAAGCATACAAAAATGCAAAATATGAATAAAAGTAAAGTATATGCCTTATGGTCACTGATGGCTTTTAAAATTATATATCTTACAACACTGTTATTTGTTGGTTTTGTTTCTTGATTAAAAAAATCTGATTCTAAGCCATCCCTATGCTTTAAAAATTCAAAGTTTCTAGAGTATGCATGTTATTAACTCAAAAGTAAACATTTAGGGACTCATACATTCAAGTAAAGATGGCGCAGCAGCACATGTCTAAAACTTTTAAATGAATAAAAATATGTCTAACAGGCATGCTTATCCTAAGTGGTTCTGCCCATAGGAGCATACAATCAAAGTTTGGAGGCTTCTGGTTTAGACTTTGCAGAGGGATGAAACAGAATTCTAGAATTTCCCAACCCCAATAACTAATAAAAGGAGAGGAAAAAAAAAATATATATATATATATTCCTCTGTGTGTGTAATTTTTAGCCAAAACTCACCAGCTCTGTCAAACAAAAATTGTTTAAATACCTCTAAACTTTAAAAAGTAGTGGCCAGAAAAAGATTGTGTACAATGTGGTCTGGCTCCTAGCCTGATGACACTGACTAAAAGCAGTAATGAGAAAAATAAGTGAGTTGATAAAACTTCAAAGTTGTAATAAACATCCTCCAGTTTGGATAGAAATATATGATTTGGCATGCTTTAGAAAAGTACAGGAAAACATCTTCAGCACAGAATCTCTGAAATCTCAACTGAGGCACAGCAGGACCAGAACCCACTGACTTCCAAGACACTATTCTGACTTAAGGGAAGGGTCTGAAGCCCCTAAAATTGTACTACACACTCAGCAGGATGGAGTGAGGCTAGCAGACACTTAACAAAATCTAAGGAGACAGGAGAGCCTGGAGCACCAGAAGAGTCCCTCCCACAACACACCACCTTATACCCTTCAGCCTCAGAGAAACAAAAAAGAGAACAGCATACAACAGCTCAAAAGGTATACTGAGGGGATACAATAAAAGGAGGAGAAAAAGTAAAAGTCAAGGAGAAAAAGGTACCAATGGGAATTCACCCCTGTTATACCAGGGCAAATACAAAGTCTTGATCCAGCTATTCGAGTCTCTAACTAAAAAGATAAAAAGAAATGGCCACATAACCATATAAACAAGAGAGTAGAAGGAAGTAAAGTAACAAATAATGACTATGGTAAGCAGAACAAAGGAAGAACCCAGCCTGAAAGAAATCAACAACACAAGAAAATAAAATTCCCAGTGAGTTCTTTGTAACAGAGAACAACCTAGGAAGAACAAACATTTAATAAACAAGAATTCAAATATAAAAAAGACAAAACAGGTAAGTTGAGATGAGCTAAGGAAATCAATTAGGAAGGAAAGAAGCAAAGATTGAAAATTAATGGGCAAGGAGAAAAATCTTAAAATAACCTGAGTACTGAGGAGAAAAAAAGACAAAGAAGATGTAGGACAGAGATTGAATGGAAAGATAATTAGTCTCCCTGACACAGAATAGCTAAACAAATAGAAGAAAAAAAGCAGGTCGACATAATAGCAATACCCCTAAAATAAAGGGAAAACAACCTACAAAAGGAAAATTTTAAAAATTTTATTTTTTTTAATTTTTATTTATTTATGATAGTCACACAGAGACAGAGAGAGAGAGAGAGAGAGAGAGAGAGAGAGAGAGAGGCAGAGACATAGGCAGAGGGAGAAGCAGGCTCCATGCACCGGGAGCCCGACGTGGGATTTGATCCCGGGTCTCCAGGATCGCGCCCTGGGCCAAAGGCAGGTGTCAAACCGCTGTGCCACCCAGGGATCCCCTAAAAATTTTAATTAAAAAACTAAACCACATATCTAAGTACATATCTAGGTTAAGTTAATAAAATATCAAGGATGGATAAAGAAGTAATCCTCCAGTAATGCAAGAAAAAAAAATCACTTTGTCACAATGACTGAGAGTTCGATTTCATGGACTGCCATTTACTAATAATCCCTGGTGGTTTATAGAGACCTATTCTGTGTTGAGTGCGAGAAAAAGGAGAATTTGATCCATTAGTCATTTGTTCATTTATCTCTTCCGTTTACCTATTCTGAGTTCAAATCAATTAAGAATCTCACACTGACCAGAAAGAAGAATAGCTCTTTGGTATCTGGACAGGTTAGGTTTTATGTTTCTGTGTTAACTCTGTAGCCACAGCTAAAATTGTAGAATTGGAAACAATAAACTCTCAGTATCTGGGTGGCTATATATCCACAATTCAAAAAGGTCTTTATTTCTCATCCCAAGTACAGATTACTTTTTCTACTCCTGAAGAGTATTAATAAATTAGATTTATAAAGTCTCTTAAAGTAGCTCTGTTCCAATTAGCTTATAGAAACAAATATGCATTTATAGATTGAATATTACTAAAATTCCCAGAAAAGAATATTGATCTTCTAATATTTAAAATGTGTTATACTTTTAAAAATTATTCTTACAGAAACTAAGTCAAAAAGGTTTTAAGAACCAAGTCCACATAATTAAGGTAAGTATCTGGTAAACAAACCTAGTTTAATGGAACAAATCTGTCTTCTGATTTTTTTGTCAGTGTTAAATATAATGTAAGCATATATTTTTATCTCAGTAGAGTAACTTTAATGAAATACATACAGGTTTGGTGATCAAATAGACATTCTTATTCATAAAACAATGTTTAAGATTATGAAAATGTAAATCTGTGTTTAAACCGAATGATCATTCTGACAAACGTTTTATTTCAATAGTAATTATGTTTTATGATGTCAGCTTTATGGATAATTTTCAAGAACTTTAAAGGTAACCTAAAATGTTAGGCCAATATTAAATTGAATTAACTAATGAATAATCATTAACTTACTAGATCATTTCTAAGTAAGATAGAATACTAAAACATTAATTACACAGCATCATTTCAAGTTTACATACTTTTCCTTCTTGTTATTACAGAAACTTCTTGTTATTATACAGAAAGACTATACATTTGAGACAGGTAAAAGAACACACTAAGTTTTGATACTTTGAGAAACTGTACACTGGATCCCATTTTTATAAAGGCAGCGTGACGGAAATCACATAAAGATGTGGGTGCACATGTATGTTTAAACACAACAAATTGTTAATAGTTGTTATCATTAGAGAAGTGAGAATCAGGTGAAGGGAAGACTTCTTTTTACCTTTACATCTTTATTATTCAAATATTCTAAACATGCCCATATTTTTACAATGTAAAAAATTTTAACTACAAAACTGGGTCTTAAAAACACCCATTTATTCAATATGAAAACAAGTCTTTTAAAAAATTTATTTATTTATTTAGGTAATCTCTACACTCAATGTGGTATGCAAACTCACAACCCCAAGACCAAGAGCTGCATGCTCTTACAGCCAGCCAGGCACCCCTCAATATGAAAACAAGAATTAACAGTTTAACTAAAAACAATTACTCAAAATCCAGTTCAATATTATGTGAAATATACTTAAAAGACATAAAAAATAGAAGATGTCTGAATAAGAAACAAAGGATTTTTTATTCAACAGACAGAACATCTTCATAAATTACCATTTCTATTTCTCCAGACCACCTCAATTCAGTATGTTTCACTTATCAATTTTACCTTTAAAAATGTATTTGAAACTCATGATTTCCATTCTATAACTCTAGTTCTTACCCTCATCATCTCTTTTAATATTTCTACAAAGGCTTCCTACGTTATAAAGACTCCCATCTCACTTTTATTCAAACTGTCAACAGTTAGTTACACTCTTATAGCACAGATCTGATCATATCCTTCTACGGATTAAAAACTATCAATGGCTCAGGAACAACAAAATAAAACCCAGAATCCACTACAGAGATCAAATTTCTCTATTTGGCTCTACACTATCTTTGCTGACTATACATTCAAGCTGATGCATTGTTGGTCATTCCCCTAAATCTATTCTGTATTTTCTACTTTTTATGCCTCTGCTATTATAAAGACCACCCTCAAGGCTCGACTTTCAAAGCTGAAAATCCCTACACCCACAAACCTTTCCGGTTAAAACTGATTTCACATCCTTCTCTATTCCCTTTGTAACATTAATATAGCTGAGTCTGTCTTATAATTGTGGGCATGTCTATTTGACCCATTAGGAAGT